GAAGCAAGGTTGTGCTATGATGCTACACCAGAGGGCGGGTCCCCATGATGAGATATCATTCAACTCAGAAGACTAGCTCTTGATTGAATGTGACTATTGCAGCAAATGCTATTTTTATGTTTGATAATGCTAGCTTCTTGAATTTTTAATAAAAAAAAAAAGTTGAAGTTCTGTTTTAAAGTGGAAATTTACCCATTTCAGCTTGATAAAAAACAATTGCAAAGAACATACATTGTACATTAATAATTGCAGTATCCTACCAAAATTAGTATGTGTTGTAAAATGGCTCCAGAATTGTTCCTGTTTCATCTTGCTGGGGAGCTGCCATTTTGCTAAAGCCTAGAGCCTCACACAACAAAAAATCTTTAGGCTGTCAGCAGATGGGCCTCTACATTTTCCACACATTACTGAAAAACAAAAAGCAACTGAGCACGTGCAGAGCAGGATGAGACAGTGTATTAATGGATTTTAAACAGTATAGGCACTTATTCTTAATGTTTTACATAGCTATACCTGCAAAAAGGGCCAGCATGAAGAGATCTAGCAGGACTTAATTTTCTGACTAAACGTCCACTTTAACACATTTTGTTGATACCAATAACAGCCAATACTATTTGTAAATGTTTTTTCTCTTATTTCAATAGAACGGCGCAGCTGACATGCTCCAGTTGCCGTGTGATTTGCAACAAAGATTGGCAGTTTTTATAAAAATTGGCAGCATGTTTCTTTTAAAAACTAAAGCGTATAGGTATGCTTTATCTCTAGAGTTCAGCCTTGCTGAACCACACAGTTATCACGCTGACATTTCTGACAGACTATGTTTAGTTAATCTTTGCTCTGAAAATGTGATGGATCATTTAAAAAAAAATCCCAAATTTCAGGACCTTTCATAATGTGTTGGTATGCGATCCATACTAGCACATTATAAGATTCCCTTGCAAGTTTACTACTGCTTTACGTCTACTGTTGTTAGCACGCACGCTTAGCATAAAATATCTTGTCAGAATTATTTTGTAAAAATCTGAGAGCGTAATCTAAAATTTTCACACTTTTGCATTTATTTTACACTAGTCTACCCATAGAGATCCAACCTTTTCATTTGGCTCTGCCATCTTGCTTCTTGCACAGCACGGCTTAGGGATGGTGAAGTAAGGGTTTTAATCACAGGCAGTGTTTCAGTCAATTTTTATTAGTATGGTAAATAATAAACATTGCATATTAATATTTTACAATTATTTAAAATTGCATTTCCACCAAGTTGGTGGAGCTTTGGGCTTTTCTTCATGTCCTTACTAAACTTAGCTGCTGAAAAATTCCTGTTTACAAAAGCAAGACATTTTACACATAGTTCAGAGATTCCTTCCTCTCTCCTTGGTCTGTTCATATGGAAGAATGGAGGTTTTATGCAAGAGAGAGAGAGACAGTCTGAATGTAAACAACTTGTACTACAGTATCCGCTTCCCGACCGCCCTATAGCAGATATACTGCTACAGGGCGGCACGGGTGCGCAAAATCACATATATGTGTACTCGATTTCGCATTTCCGGGTAGGGAGGCAGGCGCGAGGTGCATGCGCGACCTACCCAGGTATGGCTGTCAGTCACTGGGTCCCAGCCAATGATTACTTGCTGGCACCCGGTGATTGCCAAGCATCTTCGATGGGGAGGAGAACTGTATGTAAACAATACAGTTCTCCCAGTCAGCTCATGCACACTGCTTTGGATGGCTGTGCACATCATTTAAAAAAAAATCCCAAATTTCATAATGTGCTAGTATGCAATCCATACTAGCACATTATAAGATTGCCTTGCAAGCTTACTACTGCTTTAAGCATAGCCATCCAAAGCAGTTACAGTGAAGCACAGACACACCGGAAAACAGCACACATTAACCCTTTGATCACCCCTCATGTTAACCCCTTCCTGCCCAGTGCCATTAGTACAGTGTCAATGCTTTTTTTATAGCATTGATCACTGTACTGGTATCAGTGGGGATGTCAGTGACACCAAGTCAGTTCCCCTCAGTGTCAGAATGCCCCCCATAGTCCCACTATAAGTCGCTGATCGCTACTATTACTAGTAAAGATAAAAATAAAAAAATTCCAGTATCTATACCGCCATTTGTAAACATTAAAAATTCACATAAACCACTTAATTTACACATTTTTTTTTTTTTTTTTTAGCAAAGACATGTAGCAGAATACATTTTGGTCTAAATTTATGATGAAATTTTATTTTTTTAATTGTTTTCCTGGACATGTTTAATAGCAAAAAGTCAAAAATATATTTTTTTTCCTCAGAATTGTCTGACTTTTTTTTTTAGATTGGAAATTTTTATTAAGGGCCAGTGCCCATTTTTTTCAGAACATAATAACAACAGCAACACTTTGGGTGTAAATGTTGCAATGAAAGATATAAAGGAAAACAAAAACAGAAGAAATATGAACATAAATAGACAGCATGGTAATCTGCACAATACAAAGGCATAAATCGACATAAACCTGCACATCAATGGGTTACATTATTTGTCAAAGGCACGTTACCTGGAAAGGTGTCTGGACTATATAAGGGGGTGGGGGGGAGAGGAAGGAAGTCTACCAAAGGGAGAATGATCCCATAGCTCTCAAATAGAGTGAAAGCGACCTGAGTGTTCACCCACTACAGCTGTAATTTTAGAGATCGCTCTTAAGAGATGAATTAGCGTAGGAACAACAACTGATTTCCAGAATCGTGGTATCACCCGTCTAGCCCAACCTCTTAGATTGCTTAGAGATACCCCTAAAGGGTAGCCCCAAGAGATAGTGTAGCGGATCTAGGGGTAGGGTAACATTGAGTACTTGCTCCAAGTCCATTCTAACCATAGCCCAATAACCCGCAATCTGTGGAGAAAACCAAAAGATGTGTGCCAAGGTACCTACTCCCCCATGCACCTCCAGCACTTATCAGATTCGGGTTGATCGCATGGAGCACTACAGGGGTCTTGTACCAATGCATCAATATTTTATATAAGTGTTCTTTATATATAACACAAGGAGAGGTCTTAGCAACAGAATCCCAAATCACCTTCCAACATTTCAAAGGGTTTGAACATTGGAGTTTATCCTTCCATCTCTTCATATAACGGTGATGATTATCAACAAGAACCTTTATTGAGAAGTAGTTTATATAAAGAGGTGATAAGATGTTGATGGAAGGGACCTTTAATAGCTATTCTCTCGAAATCTGTGGGGCGATCTAGTGTTAAAGAGGAATTCAAGGAATGGAAGAAATTACGGAACTGTAAATAGGCGTATTTGGCTGATATCGGTATTGTGGATTTCCACGCCCTAATCTCCTAAAATGACCAAATCCTGTGAGAGACTGGATTGGTCAGATGACAGAGTTGAAATATCCCATTGATTGCCCAAGGGTTCATCTGTGGGTAGGAGAGACTATCTGGGAGCTCTGGATTATATAAAACATTTAACAATGGAGAGCACATGGACTGTAACTGCTGAGATTTCACACAAGTTGACCAACCTTTGAGGGAAAATTTCATAGATTCAAGCAAAGGGAGGGGGGAGGGAGGAGACATAGGTGATGTATAATGAAAAGGGCGTAGCTATGAATATGAGTGGATTGGATAAATATAGCCTAATTCTATCTCTGCTCATCTGTTCTGAGGTTTTTGGGTGAACCATGATAGCGTTTGTCTCAGGTAAATGGCTAAATAATAATTGAATATATCTGGTACCCATAAGCCTCCATTATTTCTAGATAACAAAAGAACTGTTCTCGCTATTCTGGGCTTTCTGGCATGCCAAAAAAATCTAAGGAATGCTCGTTGTAGAGTTTGCAGTTGAGCATGAGGGATCGCGATTGGTAGAGTCTCTTCAAAATGGTAAAGTAGCTTTGGCAAAATTGACATCTTTAACACATTTACTCTACCAGGAAATATATCTTATAAGCATCCCACTGATTTAGGAGAGCATAGATCTCCCAAATCAGTGGGGGGTAGTTAGCTTCAAACAATTGAGCATAAGTTGGGGTTATATGAGTACTAAGGTGTTTAACAGATGACATGCACCAGTAGCATGAGCAATTTTGTTGGAGCAGTGAGAGATCTCGGGATGGGATATTAAGGGGCATAGCTTCCGTCTTGGAAGTGTTTATTTTATAGCCAGATAAACTACTAAAGTTTTTGTAAAAGTTTATGCAAAGCAGGTAATGACAAGTGAGGCTTGGTTATAGTCAATAAAATGTCATCTGCAAAAAGAGAGAGTTTATATTCCTTCCCCCTCACAGTCACTCCCGCTATGTCAGGGTGTGCTCTGATCGCTACTGCTAATGATTCAAGACATTCCACAAATAGGAGCGGGGACAGAGGGAATCCCTGTCTAGTTCCATTGAGCATGGGAAAAGTATCGGATGTGGCATAGGGAAGCTTAACCTGTGAAGTAGGCCATGAATACAGCGCTGTAATAGCATTAAAAAAAAGGCCCTTTTATTCCCACGTCTCAGTAATTCAAACATATAAGGCCATCCCAACCAGTCAAATGCCTTCTGGGCATCTAAACTTAGCAATAGCGCTGGTGTTCGTGAGCCATGAAGTATGTCAATTAAGTTGATCGTACGTCTAGTGTTGTCCTCTGCCTGTCTAGCGAAGACAAATCCCACCTGATCGTTATGGCTGATTTTGGGAAGCAAAGGAGCCAAACGATTTGCTAAGAGTTTCGTAAAAATTTTATAATCTGTGTTTAATAATGCTATGGACCAGTAGTTAGCTGGGGTCATTAGATTTTTGCCTGGTTTGGGAAAGACTGTGATATGAGAATGTTGAAATTGCGAATGAGGTTTTTCTCCGCTCAGCAGAGAGGAGTAAAATTCCAATAGGGCAGGGCCTATATCCGCGATAAATTGCTTATAATATGTGTAAGAAAAAACCCATCTGGTCCCAGGGCTTTGTGCAACTGTAGCTCCTTAAAAACTGCACACAGTTCCTCCATAGTGATAGGTGCGTTCAGAGTTAGTCTATCTTCCTATCATGTACCTGGTGATGGAGGCCAATGGAAAGAGGGCTTCCCTTGTGGCTAAGTTCCAGACTCCCCTGAGAGTGGGACAGCGGGAGTCAGGCACAAAGTGGCACATGTCGCCTGTAGAAGTGCTTGTTGGTGGTCCACCCAGGAGCACAGCTGATGCACGGAGATGAGGTGTGCAGACAGATGGTGCCTGTGCGAGGTATGCAAGCCCTTCCGGGAATAGAGGATTACTGAAAAGGTCAGGTACCAAGTGGGAATCAGAGCAGATGTAGTCATATGGGATAGCTGAGGTCATACACAGAGGAGTGAGAAAGTATCCGTTAGCCAAGCCGAGGTCATATCAGGGATTAAGCAGAGTAGACAGGTCCGAGAGCAAGCTGAGTCAGGAAATCACAGGTCATAATAACACAGGAAACAGGAACAAGGTATGGGGAGCTAGAGATCATCCAGCAACTTGAGGAAGTGATGAGCCTCCTTAGAAAGACTGTCTGGCACCAAACTGAGGCTGATGCATGCTTCTGCGGCCATGAATGGTACTGGCAGAAATGCCAGATCTTCCAGAACTTCTGCCATGGACAAGACCCTAACACTTCCCTTTTCAATTTAGGAAGATGAAGAGTTGAAAAAAAGGCTCAAAGGAATCTTTATGGAAAGGGGGATGTATGTCTTGTGATAAACAGATATAAAGCTTACAATAGAATCTCTGAATACTTGGGCTATCTGTTGGGGGCAAAAAGTGAGGGTGCCATCTGCCTGAAACAAAAATTCAGGTGCGGAAGTTGTCGAATGTGCTTTCAGTTTAACCAAAATCCTATGAGGTTTATTAGCGTATTGATAAAATTTCTGTTTCATCCATAGCAGTTTCTTCGCTATAGAACTAGCCTCAAGTTTCTTAAGTTGATCTTCAAGTTGTACCGGTAATCGAAGTTTAGGCAAAGAGGGCAAAGCGATAAGTTTTTTTTTTTTTCCGCTTGAGATAATTGGTTTATAAGGTCAGTGTTCTGGTGAAGCATGGACTTCTTAAGACGTGAGCTTTTCATTATAAGGTGACCCCTAATTAACGCTTTGTGGGCTTCCCACAGCGTTGAGGATGCTGACACAGATCCTGTATTACATTTTAAAAATTCACGTAATGCTGTTGAAATGGAAGCGTTGACACCTGCGTGACAGAAGTGTGTCATTCAGGCGCCAATGGCAAGTGCGAGAATCTGGTCGATCTAGAAACAGATCTAAAGCCAAAAAAGAATGATTTGAATGATGAGCTGGGGACAATATCGGAGCTAACTGTCTGTTTAAGTAGGGGGGTTGAAATAAAAGAGTAATCTAGTCTGGTGTAGATGTGGTGCACCGCAGAGAAGAACGAAAACTGTTTAGCACTCGGATGCTGTATTCTCCAAATATGAAACAGCTTATATCCTCTGATCCATTGACGTAAGGATGTAGATTGTTTCAAAACATGTTTTGAAGGCAATTGGCTTCGAAGGGATCTCCTATCGCGTGCAGCTGATATGGATGGATTAAAGTTTCCGCCAATGATCGTGGAAGGGTGAGATGAAACTAAAAGCGGGGAGATAGCATCTCTAAAGAACACCAATTGATTAGTATTTGAAGCATACACATTAATGATTGTAATATAGATATCACCGTATTGACATTGCAGTAGTATAAATCTGCCTTGTATGTCTAGTACTGAGGATACCACCTGGATAGGGCAGCCTTTTTTGATGAGAATAGTGAAACCTGCTTTACCTGTACTATCCATAGCGGAGTATGCTATAGGAAAATATCTGAGGGCAAAGTTAAATGAGCTTCCCTTTTTGAAATGTGTTTCCTGGATAAGGATAATATCAGCCTTAGACTGACGGAATTCCCTAAGAGCTATCGACCTCTTCCTCATTGAATTTAAACCTTTAAAATTGCAAGAGTATAGTCGTAAAGACATGTTGGTGTAATCTGAACATGAAGCAAGTGTATGCAGGGCAATATGACAAATAACCATACTGTTCTAACAAAGAATAACACAAAAAACATTTACTGAGAAAGACGCATCCAGTGCATTGCAATAAAACTAGAAAACACAGAACAAACAGATCAAAAAAGATTTGCAAACATAATATGAAACCAAAATAATGTCTGCCCACCCTTAGAAGTGGGTGGATGCAGGGCGGTATATTCTAATGGTGGGCATACCACACACTTTTTCTGGCAGAGATTTCTTCTCTTTTTTTCATTCAGTCCACAGGCTACATACAAAAAAAAAAACATAGCGTATACGCCCAGCAAGGACCAGCGATGTACTGGTACATCACTGGACTTTGAATGGTTATACCAGGATGATGCCTACAGCTGCAGGCATTATCCTGGTATAGTTTTTTTTCAGCCAGCGATCAGCTTTCATGAAAAAGCAATCCTAGTGGCTAATTAGCTGCAGGATTGCTTTTACAAGCAGTGGGATATGATGCCCCTCCTCCCTCGCTGCCTTCCACGGCCTTCTCGGGCAGTCCCGTGCCATCGGGGGAACCTGAGAATGCAGCTGGTGTTTTTCTGCCAGCTGACCATAGAGCTGATTGAAGACCAGAGTGGTGCCAATCATCTCTATAGTCTAAGAATTCGGAAGCTACGAGCATTTCATCACTTCAGTTTCCCAGGATATAAACAGCGCCATTTGTAAATTGGGAAAGCATCTGATCACACCGATTTTGGTTTGATTAGATAATGTAAGGGCAGAGGAGATATCTAGAGCCTGATAGACCCCAGATTTCTCAAAAAAGAATATATGACAATGCCCATTGAAGTTATAGGGGATATTTGCATTCCCTGTGATAGCATTAAAAGCGACCTTGTGCCAGTATGTAAACAGCGGTTGCACCATACATGTGAAGTATCGCCGTGAACGTCAGATCAAGAGCAGTAATTCTAACACTAGACCTCCTCTGTAAATCTATAATGGTAGCTTTTAAAGGCTTTTAAAGTGTTGTCTATGGATATTAAAAATGTATGCAGTTTGTCGCCATTGCACGGGGCATGTGCAGTTTTAAAGCATGTCATGTTTGGAATCTATTTACCATCATCTTTTATATCTTAGCACATAATTGGCCAATATATTGTGTTTTTGTGCATTAAAAGTAAAAAAAAAGTGTATTTTTTAAAAAATTGTTTTTAAAATATTGCTGCGCGAGTACTATGTGCCATAAAAAATTATAGTACCCACCATTTTATTCACTAGGATGTCTGCTTTAAAAAAATATATAATGTTTGGGGGTTTAAATTAATTTCCTAGCAAAAAATACAGATTTTTTTCATGTGAACAAAAAGTGTCAGAAAAAGGCTTGATCTTCAGGTGGTTGGAAGAGTGAATGATGTGCGGCATAAACTTCTAAGGCTAGGCATAAAATGCCCCCACCCCTCAAAACGACCTCTTTTTGGAAAGTAGACACCCCAAACTATTTGCTGAGAGGCATGTTGAATCAATAGAAGATTTTTTTACCACAAGTTTTTGGAAAATGACAAAATTTTTTTTTTTTTTTTTTTTTTTTACACAAAATTGTCATTTAAATGATTTACTGCTCACACATGCCATGGTTATATGTGGAATTACTCCCCAAAATACATTCTGCTACTTCTCCCGAGTATGGGGGTACCACATGTGAGAGACGTTTTGGCAGTGTAGCCAAGTACAGGACCCCAAAATCCAATAAGCACCTTCAGGCTTTTAAAGGACTTTATTTCCTCGTTATACTTCCAGACTACCTATCACAGTTTCGGAGGCCCTGAAATGCCAGGATAGCACCTAACCCCCCCAAATGACCCCTTTTTGGAAAGTAGACACCCCAAGGAATTTGATAAGAAGCATGGTAAGTATTTTGCAGATCTCATTTGTTGCCACAAGGTTTTGAAAAATGAAGGAAAAAAAAACAAAAACATATTTTTTCTATTCTTTTTTTAAATTTCAAAACCTTGTGAGAAAAAATTAGATCTGCAAAATACTCACCAAGCCGCTTTTTAAAATCATTGGGGTGTCTACTTTCCAGAAAGGGGTCATTTGGGGGGCGGTTTGGTGCTATCCTGGCATGTCAGGGCCTTTGAAACTGTGATAGGTATTGAGGAAGTGAAATGAGGAAGTTACTGTACGTACCTTCAGGCTTTCAAAGTGGTCATTGGATTTCAGGCTCCTGTATGTGGCTAGGCTCGCAAAAAGTCTCACACATGTGGTATCCCCATACTCGGTAGAAGTAGCAGAATGTATTTTGGGGTGTATTTACACATAAACCCATGGCTTGTGCGAGAAATAAATCATTTAAATGACAACGTTGTGTAAAAAAATAAATAAATGTTTTTGTCATTTTCCAGAAACTTGTGGAAAAAAAAATAAATCTTTACATGGACTCAATATGCCTCTCAGCAGATAGCTTAGGGTGTCTACTTTCCAAAAAGGGGTCATTTAAGGGTGTTTGTACTATCCTGGTATTTTAGCACCACAAGAAATGTGATGGGCAGTCAGAAAGTAAAAGCTGTGTAAATTCCATTATCTATGCCATAGTTTGTAGACGCTATAACTTTCACGCAAAGCAATAAATATACTCTTACTGGGATTTTTTTTAACCAAAATATGTAGCAGAATACATTTTGGACTAAATTTTATGAAATTTTAGTTTTTTTGGATATTATTTATGATCGAAATGAGAAAATATTGTTTTTTATTTCAAAAAAAAAAAATTTCGTAAAAAATATTTTAGTTTATAGCGCCAAAAAAGGACATAAATTTTATTTATGTACCCTATTGCATGACTAGCGCAGCGCTGTATAGCAAAAAATGGCGTAAATTGCAGTATCTATACCATAGTTTGTAGACGCTATAACTTTCACACAAAGCAATCAATATACACTTATTGGGGTTTTTTTTTACCAAAAACATGTAGCAGAATACATTTTGGCCTACATTTATAACTAACTTTGAGTTTACTATATATTTTTTATAGCTGAAAGTAAAAAAATATCATTTTTCTTCAAAATTTTCGGTCTTTTTTTGTTTATAGCGTGAAAAATATAAAAGCGCATAGGTGATTAAATACCACAGAAAGAAAGCTCTATCTGTGAGAAAAAAAGGATGTAAATTTTGTTTGGGTGCAGCATTGCATGACCGCGCATTTATCAGTTGAATTAGTGCAGCGCCGAGTAGCAAAAAGAGGCCTGGTCAGGGAGGGGGTAAATCCTCAGGAGTGAAAGTAGTTAATAATGCCGGCTTCTTGAATTTTTAATTAAAAAAAAAGTTGAAGTTCCATTTTAAAGTGGAACTTTACCCATATCAACTTGATAAAAAACAATTGCAAGGAAC